TCCTATTCCCCTACCAGTCCTTCTTACTCTCCTACTAGTCCTTCCTATTCCCCTACCAGTCCTTCTTACTCTCCTACTAGTCCTTCCTATTCACCTACCAGTCCTTCTTACTCTCCTACTAGTCCATCATATTCTCCTACTAGTCCTTCTTACTCTCCCACTAGTCCTTCCTATTCCCCTACCAGTCCTTCTTACTCTCCTACTAGTCCTTCCTATTCACCTACCAGTCCATCATATTCGCCTACTAGTCCATCATATTCGCCTACTAGTCCTTCCTATTCGCCTACTAGTCCTTCCTATTCGCCTACAAGTCCTTCTTACTCTCCATCTGGACATTAGTAAATCAGCTTCCACTTGCTACCGTGACTTGTGGTTGACAAAAATGTAAATTGTTAGTATAGTAAACTGAAGTTGAGTAAATTGATTCTGAAAGTCTCAATTAACTAAAAAAAAAATAAAAATAAAAAGAAAGAAAAGAGAAGAGAAGAGAATTTACGAATTACTACTGCAATGAGAAAGGTCCTTATCATTAACAAGTAACAGTAAATTATATAAGTAAATTTATGCTTGTTTTATAATCAAACTTATTTTTTATTTTATTTCATAGAAAATTCAAGTATTCTGATCTTTTTGGAAACAATAATCTCGTGCTAAACATTGAAATGTTAAATTGGTTGACTAGGAAAATTGTTTCTTTCAGCTTATTATTTATCTGAGTCGCTTTCACTGTGCAAATTTTGAAAGTCGCTGTTCTGTTTAGAATATTACAGTAACAGTAGAAATCTGAAGAATCTATCCGTTTAAAATTCCTTATAAGTCCAGAGTAGGTTAAAGCTGCTGAACCTGTACAATCTTGATTGAATACCCATTACTTACCGTCATTTAAATTTACTGATTGCTGGTAATTGGCGCTAGCAGTTAATTAAATAGCTTTTATTAAGCACTTGCTGTTAAGGCAATTCGTCCATTATCGGATGTACTTAACTATGTCTTATTATTAATCTGCCAAATTTACTCATTCAGTTACCACTATTAGGATTTGGCATTGCTAGAATACTAAACCTAAGATTGTCTAATGAAGTAATGTTAAGACGCTTGTGGTTTACCTCATCAATATCTTTACTGAAATTTATAAATGGGAAAATCTGAGGATACGATGGTTATTTTCGCATATATATACTTTTCAGGTTGACGCTGTTCATATAGTCATTGAAAGTCAAAGTGCTAATGTAAATGGTTATGCAAGGTAATCAATTACTTCTTTCCTAAAATCACTGCTTAAATCGTTTGAGAATTTTCTGAAGAGATTGCAGGGCATTCACGTACTTTTTTTTTCTCGTTGTTCTTTGATTTTTGATGACGCTTAATTCTAAAAAATACATGCGTTTTATACACTTGTTTCTAGGATTACAATTTCAGAAGGAAAAATGAAAATGAATTTCAATGCTAAATCTGAAAATTTTGCACGCTAACACAGGCAGCGTTGTCTTTTGACCACAAATATATATTTGATTCATTACGGCTTAACAAGACGAACATACTATACTATGCAATATTTCCGACATGAGATGGACTGCCAACGCTTTTAAACTTACAGTCTAACTATAATTTTTATAATCTAAAATTGAAGCAAACTTAGAGAACGATTGGAAGTACTGATAGCTTTCTTGAGATATCTAACGAAAAAACCTTTTAATATTCAAAATACTGGTCGCTAGTTCGAATCTGGCTCAGGAGACTGATTTTCATTCTTTTTTACAAAAGAAAAGAAAGTGAGATGACGGCTCCCTCCAATTAACTATTGATATATTACTCGTAAGTCATTGAGAGTAGTTGTAAAAGTCTTATCTGTTAGTTCTTCATTAGTAAACTCAACCAAAATAGTGTATACATTTGAGCGATTTAGACTAATCATTGAGCTTAAAGAACTAGTGAGTAGGAGAAAAGATTAGGTTACTCAATTATGCTGCTTTCTTCAACTTTGCTCATGCCTTGTAGTTTTTTACCTTTCTGTTTTTGTTGTGCATCGATAGTCGAGATTCTTATTCGGTTGTTCATTTTTATCAATCTATGCTTATACCTTTAGTAAGTCTTCATTGTCTCTAGGTATCAGATACTTGAATAATTTGAATTTCATCATTCGACATTTTTTATTTCCAAACTAACTACAGCACTTAAATCGTTTAATAGTAAGACGTAAAATCAACTTTGGGTGGTGCCATCTTACTAAAAAGCTACGTAGTTATCCTTCGAAAATATTGAAAAGTTAACATGCGAAGTAAATCATTGTTGCGGTACTAAATTAAGGTTTGCAATCCTAATCAACGACTCTATAAACACATCATTGTTTTCCTAAATAGCTTTCAGATCTATATATATATATACATTTGAATTTGAGAGTTATCTATTGACAAAAGGTTTTGAAATGAAACTGAAAAAAATGGACAAGCCAGAACTCGAATCTGGGACCTCTTCCATGCTAAGGAAGCGTGATAACCATCTACACCACATGCCCTTTCTGATGTCTTCTTTCCCATAATTTATATAGAGATAATTATTATGATGCTGTACTCAGATTCCCTGAGGATACTACTATATGGGTGTGTTTGAGGCCATTATGTAGCCTGTATTAGTCGTTAACGTAGAGTACTGATGTTTCAAATTCTTATTATAAAGCAAAGTTCACTTTTGTAATGAAGGTAGATCTTTTTTGCTTGTCTAGAATCTAGGATCTGTTATTTTTCTCTTAAAATTCGTTATTGTACATTCTGTTACGTTCTGCTCTCACCTGCATATTGCTTTGACATTGACAAAAAGTATTCAATCCAGATGTGCAGAAACAATTCCGCATCTATAGGTTGCTATTATATAATTAAGTAGCTCTCACTCTAACAACAAAGGCCGTGTGGTTTAGATGGTTATAATTTCTGCTTAACATTTGATGTTCGCAGACGGTCCCAAGTTCGAGTCTTGGCACGGTCATCCATACCTTTTTTTCATTTTCAGTTCGTTTTACCAGGATGCTGCCTTTCTCTCTTTTCTTTTCTTTTCTCTTTTTCCTTTTCGAGCTTGCTTAACAATGCTTTCTTTCGTTTGTATCACCCACCACCTACTTGCGTACAAAGGTCATACAACCATATGAGTTTAAAATCAAGATCTTCAACCACTTCGACAACGTAAAACATGAAATCTAAAACCTAAAACCCAAGATAGGAAAAAAATACAATAATAATACAAAAATTAAAAAAACAAAATACCTCTCCCTCCGGGATTCGAACCCGGGCTGCCAGCGTGACAGGCTGGTGTACTACCCCTATACTAAGGAAGAATTGCTTGTGTTGTTTACAGTTATTATTCTTTTATATACTGT